CCAAGTGGGAACCACCTTTGTGATGACAGGACTTTACCCCTTTATGGTTTAAGGCTACACTGACACGCATGTCATGTGTGACGTTATTATTCAAAGAACTTCAGATCCTTCAATCATATAGTTCTCAATAAAAAAGAAATAAAAACGTTATCTGCAGGCAATTATTCTGAGCTCACACACTCAGTAGGGAGTAGGATGTGTCTATCTTGATGGCAGTGTTTTTATACCCCACCCCTGCAGTCCCCAGCAGCCCACGTTTGACTATCAAGTCACCGGAAGTCAGCCACAGTCATCTCACACAGTGTAGGCTACAACTGTTTGTAGTAGCCTTCACCAACGAAGAAGACGAATCTCAACGCAGTGGAAAATAGAAACCCAGTGTAGTGTAATTGCAGAGCAACGCAGACACAAACGCATGGGTATAAATGCTCACGATGGTGTAGACTTGACGCAGAAGTACAAATTGGCCTTTAGCATAAGGGTCATTAAGGGTCCCCCCCCCCCCCCAAAGTGTTGTCATTTCTTGAGAGGGGCTTTTAAGTGTCATTACAGCTTAGTGCACAAAACATGCTGTCATGCCTTCATTTGAAAAAATGTCATTCATCTGTTAAAAAAAATATGAACGGTGTGCATGTATATAAGACAAAATTGTGTAACTACTGTATATGGGCAACTATGTTGATAAGACATTTTAAGTACTGCCACACTGAGGGATTTCTTTATCTCATACACAACCCACTCTGCGATCTTTGCTGTCTGCATACAGATGCCCTCAAATAAAAAAAATGCTGACCACAGCGCTCTTTGACACAGACCAGCATTCTAAAAAACTGCAGGATTGGTTTCTAAAGTGTTTCTTTGGGCACAGTGTAGCATGATGCTAATGAAACCAAAAACATTTTGAGACCTTATGATGAGTGTAGATTTACATGCTGGGTTCAATTTACCTACAAAGGGAATACAACAAGTATTGCCACCAGGCTATACAGTTTTTACTGCCATATATACAATTCATTTACAACATGGCATTGAAATCCAAACAACTAAAGATGTAATCCATTCCCATGCAGGCTTACATACATACTGTTGCAAAATCAGATTATAGTGTTGTTTGCATAAAGAAACTGCTTCCCTGAGAAAGAGCCACAGTTGCTAGAGAGGGAGAGAAAATGTTTGACATAATGAATATACACATACATAAACACAACCATATATTTTGTCTATATATATTCGGAAGTGAAAGGTGACTGTTAGCTGTATATGTTAACAAGACAGCACAATAGGCTACTTTGTCTATCTTAAATATAATCATATAAGCAAGGGTTAAAATTAATACTCCAATTGAAGTATTCAGTTAAATAAAAAACAGCAATCTGCTAGTCTGTCTGCTATAGTTTCAAAATCTTTTAGATGAAGCGTGAACATATATTAATGTCAGTAAAATTGATACCACAGGCTGCAGCAGCTTGCACTTGACTTGTCAAGCATGCATGAATTGGTTCACATACAGAGGGACGGTCATTTGTTATAATTTCACATGTGCTCCTGGACTTGGATTACCCTCTTGTCCTCTTCTGTAATAAAACTCCTGTCATTTATTTCACTTTTCACACCTCAACTCTCAGCTGCCTGAGTTTCTCCAGAGCGCAGAAGTTCAGTACAGTGAACATATGGCTGCTAAAGGAGCTGGACTACTGTTCTGAAACAGATACCTCTGGGACATGACAACGTCACAACTGTGTGTGAGTGTGCCCACAATGCATTTGAGTGTAGTGTGTTTCTGTGGACAGTTCCATTACACTGAGATACAACTGTCTCTCTCTCTCTAATGTCCACAGTTGATACTTGCCTCTCCTGATTGGCTGTTGGAAGATTTGTCACAATGCCTGTCTGAGTCAGCCTGTCACCCGGCGGTCACACTGTTGGCTGTAGTGTCGCACTTTCCACCACGAGCCAGAGGAGACGCATCCTGCTCCCGGTGTTTATCTTTTAAGCTTCTGGCAGTAACTTTGTTTTAATGGTCAGCAAAGTTATGTTTTAAGGCACTAGTCTTTTAAAACTCCTTGGCTTCCATCCCCACATATTGCCATTACCCTCATTCAAATTCTCACAAATGAAAATATTTTTGCACTTAACCTTACTGATGGGACATCACCTACCTACCATCAGTTGAATAAAATGACTTCCTGAGTATGAGCCTAATACTGCTGATTAGGAGAAAGTACTTCAAAAAGGAAATCCTTACAGGTACCAGGGAGCTAAATTTAATTCATTTAGAAAATTACTTTAAGGCTTTCTGCCTTAATTCAACAAAACAAAGATTTTATTTCTTCTACCATAGTCTGAAAAGCATCTACAGAGAATTGACAAAGCCCACCAGCTGGAAGCTGGAACCATCAGGGAGCTATAATGAATGATGTGACTGAGCACCTCGACTCCAAAACCTAGATTTGGTCTCATAAATGAAGCAGGATTGCACCACTGCAAGGCCTACTTCCTTCCTAAAAGCAATTTAAAAAACGATTTCGGCGGACAATGTAAGATTCCAACATCTCATGTTGTCCAAGTTTGGAAATCAAAAGCAAAGACCAGTGCAAGCCCATCAAGCAGTGTGTTTATTCAACCAAGTGTATGGAGGGTTCATGCCTGACATAATAATTTGTGAGCTGTTGTGAGCTCCTGATCACTGCTGGTCAGGAGTTGAAACTTACACTGCAAAGGGAGCATTTTCACAGTGTTTTACCCCTTGTATTATGAGCATGTTTTTATATTTTAATAAAATAGAAAAGACCGTGGCTGCTGCTCTCTCTGTACATTTTAAAATTAAAGTTCAGTGTCTTGATAATCTTCACATTTTGCAAATACTTGATGTGCTACAGTTATTCTATTTGATGTGAAAGCTAAAGAAACCCAAAAGCACAGGGTTGCGGAAGGTATTGTATTATCATTTCAATACTTCAAGGTAGTGTTTTGTTGAGTGCAAAATTGCAGGGCATAATACCAGATTCAACATGTATGACCTTGATTTGAGCAGTCCTGTATAATTCAACGACTCTTCTCCTCAGTGGGGCTGTGAAAGAGATGCATGTAAATGATAGATGACTTGTCATTCATCACTGTCGTCACCTTGACACCCAGGAGGAAATAATAGCCCAGCCAAGGTGTGTCACTTCCTGTGTACAGCTACTTTGTCTTTGCCTAAAACTGTTTAGCTGTTGGGCTGAATGTCAAATACCGTACAAAGAAACACACACGTTATCAATTTCATGAAAACACAATCATGTAAGCAGCAATCACCCATACATGGACACACTTTTTGTCATGGTTAGAGAGTTGCAGAAGTTTTCTTGTGCCCTGAGATTTTCTTTTATCAGATTTTTATGTGATCACCTAGCAAATTTAAATTATCAATACAAGTATTCTTATTATCAACGATAAGTATGTTTTTCAAAACATCACTAGAGTCATACATGAGTGGTGTGATATATTTTCATTCACATTGCTGCCAGCCATTTTCAGAGCATATCACGTCAAGTTTTTGATAGATTTCCTTTCTTTCAATCCACTTAATCCTGCGCAGTAAACATTTTGTCATCTCTGTTTTTATGTCAAAGTTGCATTAATGGAGATAATTGATCCTACTGGTACATTCAAGGTCTCACTGTCCACAGAGTTTTGAGGTTCACGTTATTCTTTTCATAACATCAGCTAAAGCAGCGTTCACACCGAAAGCGAATTTAATATTCAGCCAACGGATACTACAGCTATATGAACCCAAAGTAAACCTTTTGCTGTGATTTAATTGCAATAAACGGATCAAACTGATGCTGAAATAACTACAATATGATGCCGTTTTGTTAGCAGGTCAACAACTTTTTAAAATACTTACGTTTTCTGAATGGAGTTCAGATCGATCAGGGCTACGCTATGCTAACCTGTTCACAGTAAAGTACAACGACAGCTGGAATAAAGTTACAGACATTTTCTAAACTCTCCAGGCAGTTCAACTTCCTCGCTTTCTTTTCTCCAAGTAATGTCCAAAGTAATGTAAAGTAGTGAGTGTACAGCTTGTATAACAGTGTAAATTTGCTGTCCCCTCCCCTCCCCCTTAATGTCTAAACCACTGGCAACAAAAGCAAGGAGCAACTTATGTCCGGGTGTGTTATCTAGTAAGTTTTCTAACATCAACTTGAGATTTATAGCTAGGCTCTGTCTGCGAAACCTCTGGCTGATTTTGCTTGAGTCGACAACTTTGCTAACGCGGAAGCCCAATAACACAAGCCAGCTAATAAGGTATTACTTATTAGTCCAGTAGCAAGAAGTCCAGTTCAGCATCTGTCCTGCATCCTTTCAGCTCTTTTAGTTCACACCAACGAGTAAATGCCAGTCCGAGCCAGTGTCTCTTTTTCTCTTTATCGCTTCCTCTGTGGTCTTCTTTAGTCTCTTCACAGCCTATGCCATAATAACCATACTGAAAATACAGAGCTAGCTTTTTCTTATAGTTAGCTTGCTGAAGAGTCTTATCGGTGTGTGATGTAGTGTCATAAAGCATTACACCATTCTCCTGATAGATGTCGTGCCCGAGATTCTAATGTTGCACTAGTGTATAGTGGAATACATGGTGGCCCGGGCCCGGAGTGGCAATGACAGAGATACCATACTCCCTATTTCAACTCAGCGTGCCATCAAAATGATTCTGAAGCTGTTATTTCAAGATAAAATTACTACATAATGTAGCTTTAAGTGCAGGCAAGAGGCAACACTGTATTCCTTCAACGGTACATATTATTAACTACACTTGGCACTGGCTTGAGCATGGCAGTGCCAAAGAATAAATGGTTCAGATGCTGAGTCATGTCCTCTTTCATCTTCACTCTTTGCAATCACTCTCTACTGACAGCTGTCCGAGAAATGAACAAGTGCGCTGCTGCTTTTTGGTTGTTCAGTTCATATTTCATTCTTGCATTGATTAATTCTAACGAAGGAAGTGTCAGACGTACCTTTGACTAAAACTGTTTTCCTTCCTCCGACAGTGGAGGGTGACAATCCTGTGACCTTCACTTCTGACATCCTGACTCACCGTCCACACAACAGGGTTAATGGCTCTAGCTCCCAGGAACGCCACACCGTCCTTCAGCTTGACCCTGAAACACACACAGACATACACAGGTTAAAAGAAAAACATTAAATTAGATGATGCTGGTAATGTAACCACAGCAGCTCGCCAATTAAGCTTCAGACACACGCAGTGCTTCTTTTACTCTCTGTCTGACAGACAACCATTTCAAAAGAAAGAAATGGAATGAGGTAGTGCTTAATTGTCTCTCACAGAGGTCAAAAAACAAACCCTTCAAACACTCATCTCACAATCACACACGCAAGAAGGACAATGAACTAACTACTTAACAAAGGATTATATTCAAAGGTCAAAAACATGAAAAAAAATATATAGAGGCAAAAAACTGAAGCTACAAAAGAAGAAAAGGAAACGCTTGAAAGGCTTTTGGTGGTTGCTAGGTCTTGAGAAACCATAACACCAGGGACGTGCACAGGAATTTTGAAGGGCAGTTGCTCTGACCTGTGAAAAGGCACTAAACACAGTATCCAAAATGTATTAACAATATAAATGTCACCAAAATACATATGAGAAAAAGAGTTCCTTATATTATTGTTTATTGTTTTTTTAATCATTATTATTTTTATTTTTTTTCCTTTTTTTTTTTATTTGAAAATAAATAATCTAGATTGAATTGACAGATGGGGAAAACTCGCTTCTAATAAAATATTAAATAAAAAAACGCTTAGATTTCGGAAAAAAATACAATCCTTTTTTAACCTTTTGGCTTCCCGTACATTCAGTTGCGCTTCTAGCTCGTATTCACTTCTGTTGGTACGTATCACGTATGGTAACTGGGCAAAACTACGCATGATTTGTTGTAGTATGATTGCATAAAGGAAGGAAACAGGAATTCCGGTAGGGAACAGAATCGACTGACGTGCAGGCAGCGCTGCAGCAGTGCAGCCACTTAAACAGAGTTTGCTCTTCCCCTACTGAATGGAAGTGAATGAGGCTTTGCGATCGCGATTATTTTTTTATTTTATTTTTTTTTCTCGGAAGGGCAACTTGAGTCAGGAAAGGCAAACGGGCAGTTGCCCGGGCAACCAGAGCAACCCCCCTGTGCACGTCCCTGCATAACACTTTTCTCACCAAAGGAATTCTTTTTACCTTTGAACCTTATCCATTTAGACAGTACATAGTACGGTTGGGTAAAATTTTACACCAGTACAAAAACTAGTACCGTTCAAGTGATACCGATCAGATGGAGTACTTCATTCGATACCTCGAGTAAAATGCCACATGTTGAACCCATAGTGGTTGATTGGTAATTATTAATTAATTGGTAATTATTTTAATTGCTGTTATGGACAAGCAATGTGATCTATTTTTTTTAAATAACTGTTAGAGATTAAAAATATTTGGGACAAAATATCAGATCACTCCTTATCCTAATAAGGTCATCCACTCTTATGGTAAATTTAGAGTTTTTGTAGCTATTTGAATAAGAGAGGAGTGGAATAGCGTAGTGAACACTGTGAGTTGTGGAAAACAAATTTGGTAACACTTTCTATGAAGAATGACTTATGCATATATTTATAACATGATATAATGCGTACCTAAGACATTATAACAGTTGTTATAATCACTTACAAACATGCATTAGACGCTATAGGTAAGTTCATAACGTATTATGACCTTTTGATTTAATGTTTTACAACTAATAGTAATACCAGTTTATGTCATGTGCGGCAAGAATCTCCGACCATGTTCCATAACACATTATAACCACCTACTCTGCCTCGTTATGAATACACTTTAGTCACCATTTACAATTAGTGATATAAAATGGAATAATAGCTTATAGTAATGTTTAAAGTTATATAGCATGTCTTTGTTTGCTTTAAGTAAAGTGTTAAAATATCTATCCCTGTATAATATATTACAGGTGGACATAATACCATATGAACTAATTAAAAGACCTTATAACACGTCATTGTTTGCATTAAGTAAAGTGACACACATTTTGTTTCTTCACTTTATGAACAATCTATATGAATTTTGAACATTTTGCAGTTTAGCACAAAAACACAACATAATTAAATCAAGGACACCCATTCTCAGGGTGGTGAAAGATCGCTCAAGAGAAGACCTGTTGCCGACCAACATCATGTAGGCTCAGATGTTGTCACAGATGAATGGCGAGCCATGCAGTGGACGATTAAAGACAACCATTTCACAAAACGTAGCCTATTAAAAGACATTTTAAAGTAATTGAATGGGAATACTGTTTGGGCAGTAGGAATGAGAATCTCTTGGCACCTCACGATTCGATTTGATTACAGTTCAGAGGGCAGCGATCCATCTTGATGCATTTTTTTTTCTGTGTAAATTCTAGATAATTACTAAGCATTTTGTTTACACATTGAAATTCAAAAGAAATGTCTCCTCAATTGCTTAAAAGGACTAGTTTACATCTTCTTACATGATGTTGGTCGGCAACAGGTCTTCTCTTGAGCCATCTTTCACCACCCTGACAATGAGTTTTCTTGATGTAATTATGTTGTGTTTTGTGCTAAACTGCAAATTGTTCAAAATTCATATAGATTGTTCATAAATGTTCATAATTGTTTTCCTGCGCAAAATGTGTGTCACTTTACTTAAAGCAAACAATGACGTGTTATAAGGTCTTTTAATTAGTTCATATGGTATTATGTCCACCTGTAATATATTATACAGGGATAGATATTTTAACACTTTACTTAAAGCAAACAAAGACATGCTATATAACTTTAAACATTACTATAAGCTATTATTCCATTTTATATCACTAATTGTAAATGGTGACTAAAGTGTATTCATAACGAGGCAGAGTCGGTGGTTATAATGTGTTATGGAACATGGTCAGAGGTTCTTGCCGCACATTGATATAAACTGGTATTAACATTAGTTATAAAACATTAAATCAAAAGGTCATAATACGTTATGAACTTTGCTATAGCGCCTAATGCATGTTTGTAAGTGATAACAACTGTTATAATGTCTTATGGACGTATTATATCGTATTATAAATATATGCATAAGTCATTATAGCGATGACCTTCATAGAAAGTGTTACCACAAATTTAAGTTAAGAGAGAAAAGAGAGGCTGCACATCCAGCCGACCACACCAACTACATCTTATATCAGTTGCAGCTGCAGCCGGATGCTCCGTGAGTAAAATAAGCTGATCGCTGCTGAGCCACAAAACCATTGAATATGATGGAACGCAGTGATCGATCTGTGAAAAGTGATGTGAATAGCAAATAAAACTGTACAGAGTAGTGTTAAAGGATATCAGAAGTGAAACCAACAGAAAGACAAGCTTGTGGTGATAACTTGCAACGGTGACGAACATGCCTTAGAACGCAGCCAAAGGTGAGGCGCTGTTAAAATCACATATGGACTATGTGTATAGTCGCAATATTTTAGTTCCCAGTCAGAAATTTAATCTGGAACAGTTAAGTCGGATTTCTAAATCGCAAAAGCGGGGAGAACCACTCTACCACCAGCTTCGTGATCCAAGATGGCTGCTCTGTGTATCAAAAGGTTGGTGAAAGCTTTAGTTTATATTGTTTATTAGCACTTCTGTGTATTTGTGTCTCATATAAATTTTCATACACAAAGTAACGTTACTGTTGAACTGCTGCCTGTGGACATGTTGCTACTGTGTTTAGTAAGCGTAAATACCACGTAATCCGTTTTTATCAACCGGCGTTGGTAACAATGGTTAACCTCACTAGTTGTAAACAACGGCTGGCTGAGCAAGGTTTAGAAAGCGGCCTACTCGGGCGTGACGTCATTACCACCTACGACTTCTGTGGTAAATGGAACGCAGCATAGGCAAATGCAGGCACATAAGGAAAAAAAGATGCATGCACTTCTCTTTCGGTGTTTTGCTTGCGTGTTTGGCTGCAAGCAAAACCATACCAATACCAAATCATTTTTCCCCCCTATCTGGTTGCAAAAAGTATCCAATGCAGTACTGGTTCAACTGGAGACATTTCGATACAACTCGATACTAGGCTATTTGGGTTGACACCTTAAAGGTGTCAAATACCCATCCCTAGAACATAGTCATAAGTGGAAAAAAGCAAAAATGTTTTCAAATTTTCTTTTCATATTTTGCTTGGGATGAATATTGAACATTTAAGAAAAATGTATCTGGCAGGTACAAGCCAAATTATTTCATTAGCAGTGATGAAACCTAGCACCAGGAAAACACAGTTGGCTGCAAGTCAGGGAGCAAGGGGTTCAAATTAACCACTGTGAAAGTGTATTTGACCACTATGAGATCACATACTGAATGAAGGAGTATTCCTACATAATTCCTGTTTTACACCTTGTAATATCCCACCATCAGGACTTTCTCTGGAGCAATAAATAGGCACTAAGCTCCAGTTCAGACAATTTTTTGGTAATTTTCTCAAACATCTGGGGTTTTATCAGAACTCCTATAACTGCAGCACCCCTGCCTCTCTGCCCCACCCTTTTGTCCCTCCATCACTTCCATTACTTGTGGTCACAGTCTGTGTGAAGCTATCCAGGTACCGATGAACCATGATTTCCTCCTCTTCCACTATTCTGACACGCTGTTGCTCTCCTCCTCCTCTTCTGTGACGTGAAATTACCATTAAGTACATGAGCGGCTTTCTGTACTTCCTCCTCCAACATGACAAATTGCTCTTGTTCGATCCACTGGCATGAATGGGCCAGAATATTTCACGTGAGAGAAAGATGGAAGAGATGGTTAGAAAAGGCAGATCTGAAGCAAAACACCAACAGCACAGAAAAGGTGAGGAGAAAGAAAAAAATCTATTCAGTGAAACATGAATGCTGGGTAATTTCCCCCCACATCAAAATAATTGGAGACTGTCCTCGTTCAGGAACTGCGAATGACTTGTAAAAGATGAAGAAAAAAACTGAGCGTTAACAAGGGATAATGACATGACAAACCATGCAGCAGTCCTTAGAAGAGCACAGTCGTTACATCTTCCGTGTTCAACCGGTCTTCTTTGATCTTATCCAGGTCGCTGAGGCGGTAATAA